TTAAACTCATTTAACTAATGCTAAAATACATACATCTCAGGAGAGAGCTGCTTAGGCACAAAGCATTTAGAGGCTGATTTGAATAAAACTTATACAGGGTGCAACAATGACAATTGGATTTTTATTATTAAAAATGAAGTGTTTAACTCCTCAAAGAAAACGGCTTTATTGCATTAGTTTAATAAAGCCTCTTTTTTATTGTGGTATCTGTTTTTATGAGGGAAGACAGGATGTGCATGCGGATCTGAATGTGGATGCATGCAGAAAAGGAGGCAGAGAAAGACCAACCACCTGCAGCCACAAAGTGCCACCATTTATATGACATGCATGTCAGACCTTTATCCTGAAATATACTGGAAAATGAGCAAAGACAAAGCTTGTACATACTGTGGATCTGTGCCTTTGCTTCCAAGGCTCAGGACTCCTGTGCATCAGCTAAGCATGCAGCAGCCACCTCCTACAAGTACTCATTCTGAAAGCCTGACTCACATGCTACTTAAGATCTTTTCATTCAGCCTATTGAATACAATTAAGTTAATTGAAACTGAAATTTTGGGCAGTGCAAAACCCACTGTTGGAACAAATATCCCATGTACCAAAAATCTGCAATTTATTAAAGTAAGCACTTCCCTTACAGACTGCCTTCTTTCCTGTGAGAACAACAGAACACTGCTTGTGCCACATTACACCCAAGAATAAAACAAGCAGGCAGCATGAAAGGGTTTCATGCTATAAGAGAGAGTTTTCTATGAGGGTAAAAACCAACAAAAACTCCCCCCAAAAACCCAAACCAGAAGCCTGGCTAATTGAAAGTCTGTGCACAATGGGGCAGACACCATAGCAATGAATGCAGCATGACTGTCTCACTAGATACCAGGCAGAGAATTAAAGCTTCTTGTGTTCCTCTCATTTGAGTTAAAGGGAAAATTATTTGCAAAAGGAATTCTGTCCAGGATTTGTCTCACAAGCAAATAGAGGTGGAAGAGTCAGTTATTTCAACAAACCATATTTCAGATCTTAATGCCTTGTAGAGCACTCTTTTCTAAGCCCACTTCTTTTTGGGGGAAATTTGCCAAAAAAAGCAGAATTAAAAGAAGGAGTCACAACTCACGACCTTATTTCCTTAGCAACCACACTCCTGCTGTCAGAGCCCCCAAACCCTCTTGTAGGTGACCAGTGCCACCTTTATATGCCAACAAGTGTTATTTCCCTCTTCCTCACTGCAGAACCCTGGACTTGCCTGCAGATGCACCAGAAGTTAGGACAGCACCCAGCATCAATCCACACCTGCAGCCAAGGTGTGACCAAATCCCTTGACCAAGGAGGATCAGTACAGCTTATTTCATGATAAACTTCATTGCACATGAAGCTGGTGCAGTTTCCTCCTCCTCAGGCTGTTACTTCCTTTAATCCAAAGAGAAGAGGCTGGCACCAGCTACCCAGGCAGGAGCTGAGCTGGGTGTGTGCGGTTTTCCCATCTGCAGGCTGGGAAGCCAACACTCCCACGTGGAGCTACACAGGGCAGGAAGGAGGGAGCAGTGCTCTTTGGGAAGAAAGTTACAAGCAGCCTGAACATGATGGTGTTTTTATCCAGATCTCTTGGTATCTGGCCCCACAATGACTTGATTTAAAAAGCCTCAGATTCAAGGATATTTCCAGTTTTGGAGGCTGTTCAGTTAAACAAGCACTGGCCACTCGCCCAAACATTTTACTAGTTTTGGCTATTGTATCACAACATTGGCAAAAAAGAAGCAGCTTGAAAAAAAAGAAAGATACAAACTGAAACACTCCTTCAGTCTGTAGTCTTTGCAGTCCACTGGGCACTCCCAAGGAGAGCAGCGGTTCACTGACCAAGGGATTCGAATTGTCTGGACTCATTACAAAGAGACCAATAAACTGTCCTGACTACAGCTCCAAGAGCCTGCAGCAAAGAGGAATGCTGAGCAAACGAGGACAAGAATAATATGTTCATTTTCTTTATGCAGAACAGGATTCAAATTACCTATTTTCCAGTTTGCATTTTGAAGAGTGGCATCACTTCAGCCCCTCCCGATATGCTGAAAAGCTCCCCAGCAAAGCACAAGGTGCATTTTAATACATTTCCTTTAAAATCGTTCTCTTAGTCCTACTTTTTCCTGTAAGAAACATCACCTACCGATTTATCAAAATATTACAACCTGCAATAAGCACACTCTGGTCATTATAACCTTTTGGTTGCAATCTGAATGCTATATTAGGAAACAATAAACTGCGGGATGGTACAAGGACTCTGCTCCGAAGATGGGCCAAACTCTATGTGCGTATTCTCCTTCAGGAAGAAGTTCACAGCCTTGGCCATCAGGCCCCCTTGTCCTGCCTCCCATTTCAGAGCATCTCCACTGGCCAACGTATGCTTTCAGGGGCCACCCATCACCTAGAAGTCATCCTGATGTAAAGACAATGCAGGCTTCAGACAGGCAGGCATTTTTTGAGAACTCCAGCCCGCATGGGACCTACTTTTGACTTCACTTCACTCTTTGGGACCAAGGAGGATGTCAGCTCCCTCTGTGCACTAAAACCTCCCCACCCTCTACAGTCTGTGTATGCAGGAAGTGTACAGAACTTGTCACACAGCCTGGAGTGCTTTGTTTTCAAGTGTGTAGACAACGTGGCCACAGGTATAAGTAAATATCGCTGTCTTCATTTACGTATTTCCAACTTCAAGAGGAAGATTTGGATGTTTCACAAACCATACAATTTCATCTCTTCATCTTCTGACCCTCCTCACGTTCTCCCTCCCACACACACATGCACACATACAAGTGTCAGCCACTTGTTCCGATGGATTTAGCCTAGTTTGGATCAAAGCTTCCTCTACTTCATTTAACAGATTTGCTGAGATGGAAAGTCTCAGGGGAGAAATAATGTTAGTAAGAAGGGGCTTTTCAGCATTGAGTATGTAGGTCATTGGACTTTAAAATAAATTAGAGAATAGTTTATCTATTAAACAAGCCTCACAGTACATATTTCATGAAGCTATACTTAATTATAGGCTAATGTGCACCACAGAGCTACCATGAAGAAAGATTAAGCAGTGGCCCATAATGCAGTGATTAATGCCATTATTAGCTGGCTGGCACACAGCATCTATTATTTGGTACCATCAGGAGAAACAACAGACCTCCAGTTTCCAATGCTGGCACTTCCGTAAAATGCAACAAACCCAAAGCTTTCCAGAGAGAAACACACGCCTCTCTGTACCTTGGAAGCAGCAGGGGGTTGCAAGGAGCTGAGAGTAAACTTGAATTTCCACTCCAAGTGCCTTTTACAGAGTTTGCTTCTCCACCACAGATGTGTGGGAATATCTCACACCTTCTATTGTGCAGTGCAATATTGACTGCCTGAGCCCCTCTTCTTAATACCCTGAACAGTCCCTAATGAGAGGGGAGCTTGATTTGAGTTGGAATTACCAGCTGAGGACAAGGAAACGTAAGTGTGTATTGACACTCTCACTACGGTGATGGCTCCTGGGGACATGATGCATGTATGTAAGACCACTGGTCTTCTGTATTAGGGCACTGTTGACTAACAAAACACTGTTGTGAGATGAGCAAATCTTTTATGGATGCTGTAAGACTTGCCTGTTCTGGAATCAGTAATACATTGTATTACTTATGATGGAGGGCTAAGAAGCAGGTAGTATCTTTCTTGTTGGGGAATGAGCCTCTGATTTAATGGCAGACTTGGGCATTACCAGCCCAGATCTCCCAGTGTGGCTAAAGGAGAGCTTCACGTTCCTTGACAGTGACAAAACCCTCACTGGCAATATTATTGCTGACCTCTCGCTCCAGTTCAGAATATGTCATCCTGTCAATACCATCCACCTTGATTATACCAGGCTTTATATACAACAGGTTATGATCCCAGAGGGATGAAAAGCTTTTCCAAATTAAAAGCAGCATTTAAAGAGAGCATTTTTAACTCATACATTCCTATGTAGTTTTCATTTGATATCCTCAAGGCTAATCCCAGAACTCAAGTGTTTTTTTCTGAGTGCAGCCATCTTATGAATTTAATGGAAGAAGGAAGTAATAAAAGGTACTCCATACTTTAATTAGTTCCCTCATAACATGGCATTTCCAAAATGGCAGTGCCAAAGAAAATCATTAATCCAGCAGAACAGACGAAGGCACTGTATGGGGCAGGGGACAGGCCTCCTAAAGATATACTCTCCCCTTTTCTGCTCTCGCTGGTGAATTTTACTGCAAATAAAAACTCCAGCTACACAAAAGGAATTCATAACTAATACTGAATATTAAAGCCACTTTCCATTTCTTAAGTCTTGTTACAGAGTATCACAACTGAGAGATCACATGTTGTATCCTGCAGGATAAATGTAAATGGCCCATCTTTCCAAGCACACATTCACCCTGGGTACTCCAGGTGCCAGGCTTAAACTGATACTATCCATGCAATCATTTCAACATCTGAAATTCAGTAGGTGAGCGAGAAAACCTGTGTCAGATGTATGAAAGCAAACACAGTCTGCTACAGAAGGCAGACACTTTTCCCAGCACACTTGCCTTACACATTTCTTGTGGGAGGAGCCTCTGGCACTAGTTGTGGCATCAGTTGTACCCCAGGAAGGAATGAGGAAGCATCAGAAGGAATCCCAAAAACACCTCTGACTCTCAGTCTCTTATTACCTCTTCTTGGCAATCAGGCAGGGACAAATGTGGAAGTTTATAACCACAGAGAGGAGCTCAGGGAAGAACTCCCATGAGCAGAATGACTGCTAGAGAACAAAGCTCAGGTAATGGTGCAGGAGTGGCCAAATGCAAACAACCAGCTGCTCCTGGAAGAAACAGCCTTGTTCAAAACTGACAAAGAGACTGGAGAAAAGACTCAGAGTGGTTTGACCTGTTTCTATGGCTTGCCCCCTGCTCTGACCTGCCACAACCATACAGCCCCACAAGAGCCACATCTTTGCCCCTTCTTGGTTACAGAATAGAAATTGATACCTGTGTGCGGTTGAATGCTACTCTTGCAAAGACAGCTTGAGACACACTGGCTCTCTTCAGCTCATCTCTGACTTGCTGGTAAATATCTGGAGAGACTTCCACCGATGAATTTGATGGCTCTGGTTTGACAGCTCTAGGGATGGGTGGATGATTCAAGAACTGCTGGTTGATAGCCTGTGGGTGCTGGTGAGCCAAGAGTCGGCTGACAGCAATCTGCTGGTTTATCAGATGGGCCATCGCTATCTGCTGCCTCACCAGTTGTGGACTGAGCTGAGGAGACAGGAGCCCAGGGTTTATCATGGTTTGCATCGTTGGCACTTGGTTTCGGATTGGAGTACTGTGGTGAATTTGGCCATGAGGAGATTGTTCATTAGATTTTCCCAAAGTTGCCAGCTGGTTGATATTTGGTAAGTGCATGGGACGTTGACCAAGAACACAATAGTCTGAAAGGTTTTCTCTTTCCACTCTTTCCACTGTTAAAAGAGAAAAATTAGCTTGCTGTCATTTCAGTTTGCACTTAGGGCAAAGATTATATTGCAGGTGACTGCACACAACAGCACCTGCTTTAATTTGTAAGTCTACACAGAAGTATCACAGAAACATAAGCAAAAGAAACACAAAGCAAAAGCAACAAGAATAATTCATAATAATTCTTTTGGACTTCCCAGGCTTCATCCATGAAGACTCCTTATAAACCAACAGCAGGTATCCTCCCCAGCCTCCTTTCCTAAGGAAAAAAGCTTGGACACTTCCATTTATACTGTTACTAACATTTGAATCCATCACAGCAAATTGATTAACCTTTTAAAGTGGTCAGTGTTTCAGAATCACTGGCATTGAGGTAAAGAAAGAAATTCAAATTGGTATCGACTCATGCAAATCTAATGGAAACAAGGCCATTCCCTGTGCAGCTCATGGCACTGCTTCTCATTACAGATTTGGCAAGTATTATCTTTTCCACATAAACTCTGCCTCGCACTGTGTGTGGATAAACCTTTCTGGTACAATCAGCTCACCCAGGTGCACCACAGCAGACTCATGTTGGTTGTATGAAAGCATATTACAAAACAGCGAAATTCACACATGAAAAAAGTTTGAAGCTATGGTTCCTATAGCCAAAGCCTCATTGCCATGAGTTTGTCCAGAAACTTTAAAGCATTTTGCACAAATGCCCACCTGAAACAAAGTGCCTTCACTGTCTTCAAAAAAGCTTTGTGTAGCACAACAGTGATCTCTAAGTGAGATCATGTTACAAAAAAATCAAACAGTACACACTAAATGCATATACTCTAGTTTCATATACTGATGTGCATTGTCCTTGTTAAATATCTTATGTCAGCAATATCACAGTATTTTTTCAGGTAACTGCAAAACTAAACACACATATTACAAAATTAAATTTTCTCTAAAAGCACCATTTGAAATAGGAAATGAAGTTTAGCAAGTGCATAAATATAACTCCTACCTAGATAATTTTAAGCAATCAGAAGTCATTTTACAGTAAGTTGCAGATTCCATAAGCTTCCCTATGTGTAATTTAAATAGGCATTTTTATATTGATCTCATATATAAGTGTTTAGAAACATATCATAGAAAACCACTACCTCATCCCTGTATTGGTCTCAGCAAATAACAAGATAGGATTTATTTCAGAAAGGTCAAAATACTGTTATAACTTGTGTAATGATTAACAACTGTATGAGGTTTGGAACTGTTTTTAAAAACCTAATCTATATAAAGCTTTGAAGCTTTATACTCAGAATGACAGCCTACTGATGACTTGCTCTCTTTTCTTCTAAATAAAAAGACAGCACTTTTCACCTTCCAGAGTTAATATAAGGCGGAGAGGGTTATGCCCTGAACACATACATACACACAGTTACTATTTTTTAGAACTGTCACTCTGGAATATCACAAGTATGGAATTTTACAACTCGGTGAATTAATACCCAGAATTTCCTTATAAGAACTTTTAACTCTCTCTTCCCATCCTTTAAAAGGAAAATTCTGTATCATCTTTAGCCTTCTACTGAATAATTGTTTTTTAAAAATCAAAATAAAAATTAATTTTTAAGAAAATTATTAATTCAACTTTTCCACACAACCTAATGTTTCAAGCCGACGGAATTTCTAAGTAAGTCTTTACTTGTATTTCAACTATGAAAGGCAATGCAAAATGTGTGATACACAAATATTATTGTCAGCAAATGACCACTTTTCTGTGTTACTCACAGGCTGTCAGATACATACTGCATTATTTCATCTTGCTGAAAATACTAAAAATCCCTATTCAAAAGCTGCTCCTCATTACGTCAGTAGGCCTCCCTGAAATGAGGAGCAGAAAGCTCTACACCACACAAAATCAATGTGAAATATGCAACAGGAGTAGTGCCAAGTCCACGGATGGACCCATAACCAATAAAGAGGTGTAGGCAGGGGAGTGAGGAGGGGCTGCTTTGTCACAGCCTCAGAGCACATTCTGCAACACAGATGATTCAGAGCCAACATGGCCATACGATCGCCTCCTCAGCCTCTCTGCACTAAGTCTGCACCTGAGTAATGCCATTAAATACACATTGTTGCTAGCCAAATGCAGTTATTGCAAAGGTACAATAGCTACCTGGCAGGTGTAAGCAGAATAAAGCTGTTGCTCAGTATAATGAAATACTTGGAGCATCCTGCTACATCACTGATAACCCTAAAAATAAAGAGTCCTTCCGCTAGGAGTTTCAGAAGAGCTGAAAAAGTTCTGAACTATTTGTAGTTTGAGGAGCACACAGAGAATAAGTCACTGAAACCAACAAATTATTACTTGTTAGAACATAAAAACAGTAACCAAGTGTTTTTGAAAACTTGGTGAGAAATAAATATAAATAACATTCACTTTCTGGGCTGAACCACATTTGCCAAGTTTCCACCCACTCTTGACTTCAATGCCAAGTTATAAACCCCTATAAAAATAAAGTTTAAGATGAAAAGCCTGCCAGGCTGTTAATGTTTGCAGTGCTACTTGGAATTACACAGAAACATCACCTGACTTACTTCCATAGGTATTTTTCCCTTATTATCAGTTTCCTTTTTGATCACATTAGACTACACAGCCATGCAAGTACTCCCTATAAACAAACCAGATTCTAGTCACTTTGACCACTTTAGTAATAAAAGGTTACCATTAGCAGTTACGCTGGATGGAAAAAATGTGCATTACTCAACTCCTCAAGATTCTTTCCTTCTCTAACACATTGCCCATATCTGATTCCCTTTTGTTCTTTGGTAACTATGGATTGGTTACCAAATCTGCAGGGTTGAACAGGATCAAGACTGAGAGAGTCTGGAGATGGAGACTGGCACTGTCCTGAGACACAGGCCAGCTTGCCAGCAGTGCTCTAAGAAGAAAGAGATACAGGAGCCACAAAGCTTCTTTTGAGATTTGCCACTCAGCAAATCTCACGTATCCTCTGCCACAGGCACTGTGAGCAGTGAGAGCCACTGCCCCAAAACAGCCTCAAAGCCAGGGAAGACATTCTGCAAAGCTGAGATGCATATATGTATTTACCTTAGATAATGCCACCAGCATTTTGCCTTAGATCTTCCTGATCAAGGCTTTTGCCTTTGCATCCTCCGTTTTCCACATTCATACCTGATTACAGTCTTTCCCTTGTTTGCAATTGCTCTACTCAAACTGGGGATACCTTCAGAGCTCTTGTAGTCCTGTACTGATTGGAATATAAAGCTGTACTGATTGGAATATAAATATCTGAGGACAGTGCAGCAGAACCTTACACTGGGAAGGAAGGGGTTTCATGGATATGTGCTGTCTACATTCAAGTACTGCTGATAAACTACTTCTGCTAGCAGTGCCTGTGGTAGTTAAATAAAAGCTGGTTCAGAAGGCTGTTACCTACTTCCATCTGTGGTGTGACCACAGCAAAAGACACTGCAGTGTTTTCATTTTCTCTCTGCATCGCTCACTTGGTATACCATTCTGCAGTTCTTTGCTTGAAGAGCTCATTTAAACCAAGTACAACAGCACTGTCATATTGCAGAGCCACCCACTCTTCTGAAGCCCATCACTAGGCAGGCAGAGACTTGTGTCTGGACAACAGGTACTGTGCTAAGCTCAGCAATTAGCCCCAATAGTGCTCTAGAATAGCATCTGCCCTTCATTGTTCTATACGTCCCTACAATATGTCACTACCTCTACAAGACTCAGAAACCAACATAATCCCCATAATGGGAGCAGCAAATTATTGTATTTGAATATTCCGTTCTCATCCTATAATGATTACCATGTGTGTCAATGTATTTCAACTCCATACTGAGTTAAAACTTCCTGGATTCGGCACAAAAGGAATTCAGTGCACCCTTCCCCTGTGTGATGCTCTTAACCTCTAGCCCAATCTTCCTTGCACAGTCAAGCAGCTGACACAGACCACAGCACAATAGCTTGGGGTGGTCTGCATGCAACTTTCCATTTAAAATAAAACCAGCTCAAAAGATTTAAAATAAGATTTATTTCTCCACCTTCCCTTCCCCTCACACTTTATTTGCACTGAGTTGTTAATAGGAACATTCTGACAAACAGCCCGTGGGGCGTTTAGGGCTTATGCGTGGCACTGAATTGACTGACAGCACTGGAAACCAAATTCCGATGCACAATAAGGGATGCAGCAGGGAGAGCAAGAGTGTAACACATCTCCCAGCACTGCATTGCAAGCGGGGACACAGAGGAGCCGCCAGCGTCCATGACCCAGCGTGTCCGGAACTTTTCAGTCCCACAGGCACACAGGCCCTTTGCCCCAGAGTAAGAAGAAGCTGGTAAAGAAACGTTTTGTAATAAGTTACTAGCCAGCAGAATTGCCATGCTTCAATTGTGACAGGATGTCACCACCCAAGGCTGTTCTCCAGTGCTTCAGTCTGCTTCTTTGTTTTATTTATTATTTAAAACCTGGTGATCATAAAAGCCATTTCTAGCAGTGGTCATGGCCAAGCTGGGAGAGCTCTGTGAACTCTGGTATACCCTGCACTAAGCTTGAGACAGAAAGATTCCCACAATTTCGCCTGGCTTAGCACCATCCTGCTCATTGGACCAAGACTTGAACTTTGGAGCCATGCCTGGAGGACAAAGCACAGCATCAGCTCCACCTTGGAGAGACAGGGCTGCTGCACTATACCCAGAGGGTGCCCTCTTCCTTCTGCTACATAATTATGAGCTACCACTTTGTAAATAACAGAACCACTCCAGAGCACAGGAGGTGCTTTTAAAGTGGTAATTCCGTATCTTTTATCTGTAATTGGGATAATTACTTATTTCTTTTAATCACAGCCCACTTAACCACTTCAGTGCAAAGGGCTGATCTGAGGAGTCTCATTTTCAGTCAGCATCTAATCTTTGTATTTACCCACAGTCATTCACTGGCTTCAGTGCCTGATCTCTGCCTAGGCCACTTGTTCCTGCACTCAGGACTGGAGG